AAATACTGTAAATATTAGTGATCTTGTATAAGCTAATCAACTAACTTACAAGCTTGCCTCTAAATTTATGGAACTATATATAATTGAGAAAGTTATTTTCACAACTGCATACCAACTAAAGTTACCTTCTAGTTTGAAGATCTATTCTATTTTCCATATATCTATGTTGAAACCCTATAAAGAAAATTTAAATAACTTTAATTGTGAAATTCTACTATCACCAGAAATTATTTCTGAAACTAATAATAAGAAATATAAAGTTGAAACAATTTTAGACAAGAAATTAGTAGGTTATCCCTTATACGATACCATGTAGGAACCTAAGGAAAATCTCACCAATGCTATCAATGTAGTAGCAACTTTTAAGAATTTACAAGGACATTGAATTCTAAGAAGGAAAGAATATAACAGTTTTTGTTGTTACATTGTTACCTCTGATTTTATCTTTATCTTTATATTTTATTATTATATATATTTTATTATATGTGTGTTATTTTATTATCAGTTATTATATATTTATTTCTTATTATTTTATATAGTATTACAGTAGATCAATTTAATAGTATGTAGTATACATGTTCCTAAAATTGATTTTGGATTTTTGACTTTTTGAAATTTATGTAGAATCTATTCTATATATGGAAGTAAAAAAAGTATCCAATTATGTGTATATTCAATCAAAGAATAAATCTAGGTGGTCAAAAAATTTTGAATTTTAAGTAAAATAATTTTGTCTTCTATGAAAAACTATTTTGATTTTTTTCTTCAAAATTACAATTTCAAGATTTCAAAATAATTTTGTGTGCAAGTATAGTTTGTAGTACAAATTAAATATTATTACTTAAATTAGTAAATTTCTAAATTCTTGTTAATCTGTAACACTAGAACATAAATTAGAGTACAAGCCAGAGTACAAGTTAATATCTCAGTTAAAGTACAAGTTAATTAACAGTTAAGATACCAGTTAGGATATTAACATAGTTACTAGTAAAGTTTATAGTTAGATTACAAGTTAGCTTAGTAGTTAAAATCATAATATATATAAAAGCTGGAAATTTTCTCAACTCAGTCTTCAGTTTCTATTCAGTTTTCTAATCAGTCTTTTAGTTTTCAAATTAGTTAGGATTTATTAAGTAATAAAGTTAATATTATAAAATCTTTTGAGTTCCTTGTTTATTGTATACTTTTGATAATTGATAAACTATTTGCTCTTATTAACAAGTTTTCATACCACTGTTAATAGTAAATATGCCTCTTTCATAATTAATCATACTTAATTCCTTCTACATATAAACTCTTGTATCATGATTTTGAGATTAATAATTCTTATAGTTTTATTTAGTTTTGTTTATTAGTTTAGTATTATTTTATCCATTGTTTTTATAAATTTGTAGAAAGTTTATATGGATAACAACATCCTTTACACAGTATTTTATATAGTTATACTTACCTTCTTATTTTATTATATTTATTTATTTCTTTTTATTTTTATCTTTTTATTCTGATAATAAATGATAGCATATGAGATTAACTTTAGATTTACAATGTGGTAATCCCATGTGTTAATCATTTCATTTCTATTTTATTTTATTTCTTTTATTCTATTTTATTTATTATATTATCATATGTAACCATCTGGATTGGTCTTGTAAGACCTAAGATATTATTTATTATATATTTATATTATGTAACACTAATTATATATTTTTATATAAATATAACATATGAATAATAAAGATATAAGCAAGTCTTGTAAAATAATTTAATTATAAACTATAAACTTCACTGATAAATATTTGTTGATATTTATTTTCTATAACGAATTAGTAGATTCGTTACATTAATAATGTAAGTGGTGTGTTTATTTTGGAGCTACTATATCTTTGTGATAAAGAATTTTAATAAAAAAATTATATTGAATAGATATTATTTCAATGTTAATAAATATCAAATAGATATTTTTTGAGATTATAAATTTTTTAATTAAAAAAATCTCACAACAATATTTAATTATAATTAAGCATTATAATTTTGATAATTTATTATATCGAAATGATATTAAATTGATATTCTTAAAACATCAGTTGGTATTATTTAGAAATATTGTGATGATATTTTATTATATCAAAAAATATCTCAAAAATATTCTTACAATATTTTTTAGATAAAATATTTTGGAATATTGAGATGATATCATTTCAATATCAAGGTGATATTTTTTAAAAACATTAATTTTAGTAAAGAAGAGAGTAATGAGATGTGACAAATAGATGTGATGGTATAAAAGTATACTAAATAAAAAGAGGATAAAAAAAAAATAGTAATATTAGATATATTTCAAAATAGAAAAAATTCAGATATATGCAGATATATTTGCATAAATTTACAAATTTATCTGGATTTTTTCTAAACTGAAAAATATTCAGATACATTTGTTCCCAAAAATTTACTGATATAACTATTCATGAAATTACCACATGAGCCTAGCTGACTACTACATAGTAAAGTTAGATTGCCACTATTGTCTTGTTAATCAAAAGACTTAGCAAAAATCAGAAAAGTGTTCAAAGTAGAAGTTTTGTTCTATTTTATTTTTTTTAGATCTTTAGATCTCTAAATTTTAGTCAAATACAAAAGAATTATTATACTGAATGGTGATTCTTATATTATAGATCAGCTAAAAATTGAAAAAAAATTGATTATTCTATTACATCCTATATTAAAAATCAGTTAAAATCATAATTCCTTTTCAGTATGACAATTCTTTTACATTTGACCTATAATATATCATTTTGTAGCAAGAATAAGACCTTTTTTTTTATTTTAGAATTACCTTAGTAAAAAATCATTTTACACTTCACAAATCACAAGTGGAGTTGATAATAAACAATTGAAAAGTTACATACCTCACTTGACAATTTACATCTAATTGTATGTTTAATGTGTCAAATTACAACTGACATATCTCAAATGAATGATTAACAAATTATACATCTCATCTGTTAATTAACATCTAACATACCTCAGCTGTAATTTGATACAAGCATTAGTTTAAGGTATAATATATATATTTCAAATTTTGAAAAAGAAAAATAAGAAAAATTTTAAAAAGAATAAAATATTCAAAGAATTAAATATCTGTATTCAAAAAAAGTTTTAATGAAAAAAGAGCAAGAAAGAAAGTGTCATATATATAACAATGTTCTGATTATATATCTTTCCAAAATTGATTTTGAATTTTTGAAGTATTTTGTCTTCTCAAATTTTATACAAAATCTATTTTATATATGGAAGTAAAAAAAGTATCCAGTTAAAATATATTTTTAATCAAAGAATAGAAATCAAGTTTCAAAAAATTTTATCTTCTATATAAAATAATTTTATCTTATAAAAAACTGTTTCAACTTTTTTTCTTAAAATTAATTTTGAAGTTATATATTTGATTTTGTATAAGTATAGTTCTAATACTGTATTATTATTTCTATTTTATGTTCTAGGTTTTTAACTGTTCATTTATTTCAAGATATCATTTATTTTTTACTTGAAAAATTTGTATGAAAAACTTCACAAAGGTAATAAATAGTAAATAGTAAATCTCCAGTTCAGTTTAGATAGTATCTACTATTTAGGCTTCAGTCTTGTTAATATTTAAAGTGACTTTGAAAAAAGCTTTTATAGATCCTTTTTATTTTTCAGTATGTATAAAAAAAAGAGTTTTAATGTTTACTTATTAAAATATAAAGTTTATATGTAACAACTATTAATAATTATTTTCAATTTTATATATACTTCTTCAAGTATTACTTGTAATTATTGTTACTCTATACATGTTATTAAAAGTAAAAAGCCTTTGACTCAATTTTAATTTTTTTGATTTTAATTGCATTCAACTTAATAATTGTATAAAAAATGAAAATTTCACTTGACTCAACACAGGTCAAATTCAAAAGAATTGTCATACTGAAAAGGAATTCTGATTTTAGTTAATTTATAATATAGAATGCAATAGGATAATTGATTTTACCAATTTTTAGCTAATTTATAAATAGGAATTATCATTTGGTACAGAGATTCTTTTGTATTGTATTTGACTAGTGATTACTTCATGGAGTAACCCAGAATAACCTGTGGAGTACAGCTCAATACATTTAACTTGGGGTGGATTACGTTGATCTTGCTCTGCTATAATATGAATTTAGTCCAACCCATTAAGTTCCATTAACAAACCTAGGTACAAGTATAATATATATATATAATGAAAAATAAATATTTTATTTGTGAAATCACAACAAAAAATGAATATATAATGGTTATAAAGTATGCAAAATATGATGGTCTTGAAAACTTTTAAATAATAATTTTAAAAAATTAACTTGAAGACAAATATGGTTTATTATTAACTATTACAAATATCTATGAAATGGGCTTAACAATTTTCATTCTGGTAATATAGTTAATCAAACTTTATGTTTATTACTGATTTTCGAATTGTGCAAATAGTTACAGAAAATAATAAAAAAAATATTTATTGTGTAAGGCACAAGAGACATTGAGTAAAAGAGAATATAATTATTTTTTTAAAACAAAACTTAGTATTTTTATGGTTTATGTTTATTTTCCTGAACCCCGGGTCCATGATTTTGAACCAGGGTCAGGATAAGGACGTTTATAAATTATTATATTGTTATTTTCTTTCCCTTTTTGTCAAAGAATATTATTTCAATGATCCATGAATAATATTTTCTTCCCACCATTATTCATTACTGCTCGTTCTCTTTACTTTTTTTAACATTGTAATTTCTCAAATTTTTATTTATAAAAGACCATTATATTTATAAGATTTTTGGTTGTTAATAAAACTTGATGAAGTAGCCATTCTTATTTTATGAATTTTAAGGGAAAATTTATTTCTATTACTTCAGAATTTTTAAATAACAACAAGAAGAAATTGAAGAATTATTAAATGAAATATAAAATCAGATAAAATAATCAAAATGTTCTCATAAAGATATGCAAAATATCCAATCAGGTTTTTCATCTTTAACCAATAATACAAATACTATTATACATAAATTAATAATTAGGAATGCAATTCTGTATCCTTTTATATTAAATAATATATTATAGTAATAACTTCCCTGGTTCTTTAATTTTACAATTTATATATAATCTAATAGGTCTCTTGAATGCTTCTACCATTGCTTTGTTAGCTTTTAAGGTTATTGATTTGATGATTTTCCCCTGTTTTCCTACTAAAATTCTCTATAATTAAATTTATTATATATTTTAATTGAATTAGGAAATAAAGAAAATAAAAAAAAAAGTATAATTATATAATCTTACCTGCTGAGATTCACGTTCAACATATAATGTTTGATCTATTCTCAATGTATTATCAGAAAGTAATGTCCAACCTTCATTTTCCTATTATTTATTTGAATTTAATTTCTTTCTTTCTTTTTTCTCAAGAATAATAAAGTGTAATAAAATGAATAAATAAATAAATAAAGTAAATAATGTGTTATATGATGCATACCTGCTTAATAGAATAAGGTAAATAACTACGTAAAGCAGTTAATAACTCCGCTCTAATTAAATCTTCGACTCTTCTTAAATCCGCCATCTCAGTTTTGATTCCTGAAGGATATACCCATTCTTGATCACGTGAATAAGTAAATAGAATTTCCTTCAATTTATCTACTCCTTGCTTTTGTAATGCAGAAATACTAACAAAATCTTTGAAGTATGGATATTGAACTTTGAATTTTCTAAATAAATTTTGTATTATATTTGAATTCTTTGCTTGTGGCAATAAATCAATCTATATAATTTATTGTTCATATAAGAAAGAAAAAAATGAATAAAGGAACACTGTACTGTCTATAATTATTTATAATTAAAACTAATTAAATTACCTTATTTAATATCAAGGTAGCAGGTAATTCATAATCTTTTAATCTTTTAAGTAAACATTCTTCATTGTAAGTAGTATGATTTGCTGCTCTAAATGCATCTATTATTACTAAAACTATTAATCAAATTAAATAATTGTTAAAATCAAAATATTATTTATTTATATACATATCTATAAGTTATAATGAATATTTACCATGATCAACTTCAAGTAAAGATTGCCATGACGCGTTTACAACTCCACGATTTAATCTAGCTTTATTTCGGCCAGTAATTGTGCCAGGTGTATCCAAAAATATCTAAACATATTATTATAATTATATTATACATATATATATTATTATTAATAACATTTGTTTTAAAAATTATTTCTCATTTACTATTTGTGTATTTTTTTCCGTTAATACTGCTAAAATTCTTTCTCGGGTTGTATGAGCTTTATCTGATACTACTGATACCTATTCAAAAATAAAAAATAATAATTTATTAATAGAAATTTATTTTGAAGAATTAGTATTGTTATTTGAAATGCTTATATTGTTATGTTAAAAAAACTTTCATTCTTACAGTTTCGCCCAATAAAGAGTTCAATAAAGTCGATTTACCAGCATTAGGTGTTCCTATCACTGAAATTTTTAATAACTTGGGATTATTGGGTTGTTCAAATTTCCCCATAATTTTTGGTAATTTCACTTCAATTCCTAGATTAAATATTAAATATAATTAATTAATGTATAAACAAATATTAATTACGTATATCATAAACTTTACCTGCAGGTTGAATAAACAATGGTGACATGCGTTTACTCCTCTTTGGTTTATCAACTTGTGCAGCGTTAGTGGTCTTTTGTTGCTGTAAAGAATCTTGTTCATAATTTTCTAATTCATTAATCTTTAATAATTCATTTTCATTTTCATTTTTTCCCTTGGTTTCCATTGTTTCTATATTAGAAAGTAAAGAAACTTGTTCAGATTCTTTATTTTCCATTGTTTCTCTATTAGAAAGTAAAGAAACTTGTTCAGATTCTTTTGTTTCCATTGTTTCTCTATCAGAAGGTAAAGACATGTGTCCAGATTCTTTAGTTTCAATTGGTTCTTTAATAGAAGGTAAAGGCGCTTGATCAAAAACTAATGTTTTTAAATGCTCCACAATTAAAGGGTCTAATGTTTCTTCTTGTCTTGTCATTTTTAATTTCTCAATTATGTCATTTAATATTCTATATTTTTCCATTTTTAAATATTTACTATTACTATTACTAGTATTATTAATATTACCATCATCATTATTAACTTGATGTATAGGTTGATTAGGTTGATTAGGAAGACTAAACATATTATTTAATACAGATTTTATTATTTCTGGCGGAACCGTTCTTTTCCTTTTAGTTCCTCCAAGTTCTTTAAGTCTAGATAATTTTTGTTTTCCTTCTTCTCCTTCTTCATTAATATTATTAATATCAACGTTATAATTTCCAGCGTTATTAATATCATTTGGTAATAATTTTGGTGATGGTTTTATTTCTATTGATGCAAGTTTCAATGGCTTTTTTTTAATTAAAGAATCATCAACTTTTTGATAATTTTTATCATTTTTATCATGTGATATGTCAGGTTCCTGTATTCCGGCTAATTTTCTGGCCCTTGACATTATTGAATAGTTGCGATTTTGTTCTTTATTTGTACATAATAATGAATGAGGCGAGGAATAATTAAACGATTGGAATGATTGGAATAATTTGAATAATTCGAAAACATTTGATTGTTAAAATTTGTCAATTCATCATACGTACTTATTATTATATGGCATCTAAACTTTATTGAATTATTCTTTTTTGTCGATAGATAAAAAAATTGTTGTTTTATTGTAAGATGCATCGTTTTTTTTTATCAAAAAGATAAAATGGATCATCAATTATTACCAATTATATCGTAATCTACCACGATCTGCGGAACAATCAAACACCAACTTTTACGCACAAAAAATGTTGTGATGTAAAATCAAACGTAAAACACGTCCATAAAAGTCATCATCACTATTAATATACATTTAGCAATAAAATTATATATATTATCCGTTATTTTATTATATTAATACCAAGATGCTAATACTTTAATATCAATGTGAAATGGAAATGAATAAAATGTAAAATTTATAAAGAAAATTAGAGTTATAAACTTTACTTAATACTAAAGAATAAAAATAAAAATAAAAATAAAAATAAAAAAAAAAAATAAATAATAAAAAAATATAATAATTCTATCTAACATTTTTTTAATTATATACATCAATATTCATTTTTTTAAGCAATTCAATAGCTTTCACATTATCACTTAATGCTGCTAATTTTAAATATTTAACTCCAGTATCTTTGTTGCCTTGTTTCACTAAAAGATCTCCCAATTTAAATTGAGCAAAAAAATTCCCATTATCTGCGGCTTTGGTTAAATACATCAAAAATGCATTCTTATCAAGTTGTAAACCACCTTCTTTGGTTAAAATCATTTGTGAATATCTAAGACATGCATCTGCTAATCCATCATCTGCTAGTTCTTTATATAAATTAGCTGCTGTTACAAGATCTTGATCCACGTAATATCCATGATCATAATAATATGCTTTCCAATATTTTGCTTTGGGGTCTCCTAGACTCGCATGACATTCAAAAATTTTCCAAGCTGTTTTATAATCTTTGGCATTATGAGATTTAACACCCTCGGAAAAAGGTTTTATATATGGTAAAGAAAATTTTTCTTCAAGGTCTTGAATGTCTAGAATTGGATATGATTGAGATTTAGAACTATCGTAGTTCAAAATGTTAGGATCAAGTTGATCACAATAATCTGCAAGTTTAACAAATTTCGTAAAAATAGTTTGCGTGGAGTTTCTGATATTTGGTTCATCTTGCCAAGCTTAATATAGAAAATAAGTATATTTAGCATACATTTAACATTATTAAATTAAAAAATTTAATAATAAAAGGAAATTTACCATTTTCTATGATCTTTTTTAATTTCTTTTGAAGTTTTAGCAATTCCAAGCTACCTTTTTCAAATCTAAAAGTTTCGCGTTTTCCACTTAACACCGTTTTTTTTACTTCTTCTATGTTAAGATCTTTATAAGGAATTTTTTGGAAGGTCATTTCCCAAAGCAACATTCCAAAACTATTATTTAATAAATAAATAAAATAAATTTTATAATAAATTTTTATAAAGTATTTATTTCATAATCATATTAAAGATAAATATGTTGACCTGAAAATTTCACATTCATAAGTATATTTTACTGGTTTTTCATTTGTACTTTTTATCTTTTCTGGTGCCATCCAATGTAAAACCTTGACTGTTTTTTCATAACCAGTGGTCATTTGATCGTTTTCACGAGAATATTTGAAATTGGCTATTTTTGGTTCAAGTCGTGGAGTCATCTATAAATATTATAATAATAATTAGTACCTTTCTGAATATTTGACACATGAGTGAGTTTAAAGTTTAAATAATATGTACCATGATATTTCTGCATCGGACATCATGGTGAAGAATATTAGCCATATGCAAAAATACTAAATCACGACAAATATCTAATGCAATATGAATTTTATTATTCCAATCGACTTTACTATTTGAATACACTTCTTGAAGATTTCCCCATTCAGTCCATTCAAAAACCATAACTCTATGCCCTTCTAATTTAGAGAGGCCATAGAATCTCAAGATATTTGTACTATCTTTTAATTTTCCCAATATTGCAAGTTCAGCTTGAAACCTTTTCTTCGTATATTCTTTATCTTGGTTTTCTGTATTTTCTTTATTTTCATTTTCTTTATTTTCTGCATTTTCTTTATTTTCTTTATTTTCTATATCTTCTTTATTTTCTGTATTTTCTTTATTTTCTGTATTTTCTATATTTTCATTATTTTCTGTTTCTTCATCAATATAACAAGAAATACATGCTACATCGGCAGCTTTATAAACTTTTTTAATAATAAATCTTTTGGTAAATCCATTACCACCTCGGCGATGAGTAGCCCTTCCAGGATCTGGTTTGATTAATTCTGATGGATTTATTTCAATTGCCTTTATTCCTTGGAGATTATTTGTTTCAAGTTTATAACTTATCTTTTGAACTTCTTGAATAAACATATTATTTACACCTCCAAAATTCTTTATAAGCTAAAAATATATACATATATAATCTATTAATGTCTTTCTATTATAAATTTAATAAAGTTTTTTATAAATAAAATAAAATATACCGTGCTCATTTCTCCGATATCATTATTAAGATTTTCGTTATCCAAGTCACTTTGTATAGTACTATCGATGGTTATTGAAAAATTTAATATACTCATACTACTATCAAATTCACTAATGAGTTCATTAAATTTTTCTTTGATAGAAAATGTGTTTACAATTTTTTGGAATAATGATGCATCTGTTACTTTTTTTACAAAAGATAAAATACTATTCAATACGTTATTAAATTTATTAAATGCCTCCTTATATCCGGGATCACAGAAGCGTTTTACATATAATTTTTGATGACTTTGTAACTTTTCTACACAAAGTCTAGCAACAATAGCTCGATCCTTTATCGATGAACAGATTTTTTTGTTTTGTTTAGTGGTTTCGCAAATATTAATTATGTCAGAGATAATAGAACAAACTATTCCGACTAAAGGTATGGAAGCTGCATCAGATACTCTTCCAGCTAAGCTTAGAGAACCTGATAAATTTGATGATAGGGAGCTTAATGATTCACCACGATCATTTACGAAATTTAAAGATGAAGAATGAAGTTTATCTTTGGCTTCTTTGATTTTTGACATTTTTTTATATTTACTGGACTGGGTATTCAGATTCAAATATTTCGAATTTGAAAAAAAAAAATTTTTTTGAATAATCTTCGAAAGAAAAAAGTTTGCCTATTTATTAAGAAGATTCAAACAAAGTAATTTATATCAACAAGGAACAAAAAAAAAATCTAACTCATCGTTTAATTTTACAAATTGCATTGCATGTTCTACCAACCCAAATTCGTTAAGTAAATATTTATATTTGAAATTAATAATAACCTAATAACTTTGTTATATTCATTAAACCTGTTAAACAACAAAACAACTTTTGTTTTAATATGTACCACAAATATTATTATGGCGTTGATTTTGCATCATTTTATCCTATATTTTTGGCTTCATTGCTTCTTGTTTTGTCAGTGCATTATTACTATAATAGTAAAGAATCAAATATTCTTGATGAATTACATATATAAAATCAAGATTTTAAATCTAGGGATTAAACGATATAAAAAAGTGACAAGTTATGTAAAAATAACGATAATAAATTGTCAGCGAATGCAATTAGCTTAATTACTTCTTTCATTTGCAAAGTTGAAGTTAACGATCGATTTGTGAACAAATCCGATCAACCATTAAGTTTTAACATATTCTCGTACATTTTTGTTTCCAAAAGCTAATAATAATAATTAAATCTCATAAATTTTCTCACATAAAGAATCATTGCGTTGCTGGATCAAAAAGCCAGCGGCTACCATCAATAACTTTAGTAAAAGCATAGCGTTCTTTTCAAATTTTATTCTTCTTCAGTAATTCTTCCTTAGTGTTCGATTCGATATTTTTTACATAAATATTGATTTTTTCACAAACCTGTTAAATATTGATTTTTTCACAAACTTGTTAATTTCCGTCAAACTATCTTTGATTTGATTTATCTGTCTTCCAAAATTCTCTGATTTTCTTTTTGCATCTGACAATAATGACAATAAGGAAGATAAAAAATTTACAATAAAATCATAGATTGAATACAAAACTTAGGTTATTGAAATTATTGACGAGATATTACTATGAATATAAAAAGCATGGTTATTTCTGGAAAGAGCAAGTAAATTCTTTATTCATAAATTAGAAAGAGGACAGCAAAAGATAATAAATTCTTTATAAGACTTATTTCTAAATGAAATGTTGATGAAATAAAGGAATCGCCCAAGAATGTCATGAATTGGATATTAACGCCTTAAAATTGTTTTTTATTATACTATATTTAACAAAAAGATTATAAACAAATGGTTTTATTATTTATCGCTTTTAAAATTTATTTATTAATAAACTAATTATGTGAAACTAACGATCCAGTTATTGCTGAGCTGATATGTTTGAACTTCAACGATTTCTCAACCAAAAATATTAACTTAATTTTTGAATCCAAACGTTAATCCATGATCTGCGGAACAATTACAACGTTTACGTTTACATTTTAATTAAAGTTTACTTGGTTGTTTAGAAAGAGCACAAAAAATGGACGCGTGAAGAAAATAACGTTAATATAGTAAAATTATTAATGCAGTGACCCCCTCTAAAGTCACCTCCCTTATAAGCACTCCCTTCTTTAAATCACACTTTAATTTTTTTAATAAATCCCTTTATAAAATCACAATATATTTATAAGTATAGTCCCCACATAATCACATGAATCTTATATAAATTCGTAAATACGCGCAGTCTCAAAGTTACGAATGATTTTAGCTGAATATAATTATGATGATATTTATAATGCTGATGAAACATGACTTTTTTCGAATGAAACTTAACCAGAGACTCAATACAGAAGCAATTGCAGGTCGAAAAAAGGGAAAAATATTAAAATTATTTTTTTTTTAAATTCGTATAATTTAATTAATAATTTTGCTGCGCCATTGATCTGCACATCATACTAATTTATTTTATAATTTTATTTATTATAATTTTATAGGATAAAAGCAGAGTATCTATTCTTTTTGTACAATTCTATCTAATATGTAATATAATAATTTCATCATTTATTAGTTTATTCTAAATTATAATATAATCTTTTTTCATAAATAATCGAAAAATTTTTTTTCTACAATATTTGATTTTTTATAATCACACTTGTACAATATTATATTTATATATGTGACTATATAAATAAAACCTCAGCATAAGAACACCTCGATATAATCACACCTTTAAGGGTGTGGGGTCCACTGTACCAAGATGCAAATAATTTAATATCATCTGAACTATAAAGATAATTAGAATTAAAAACTTTACTTAGTACTAATAAAAATACAAAAAATAAAAATAAATAAATAATAAAAAAATAATATAATTCTGCCTAATATTTTTAATTATTTATTATATGCATCAATATTCATTTTTTTAAGCAATTCAATAGCTTTTACATTATCACTTAATGTTGCTAATTTTAAATATTAACACCAATATCTTTGTCGCTTGTTTCATTAAATGAGCAAGATAATACCCATTATCTGCGGCTTTGGTTAAATACATCAAAAATTTGTCCTTATCAAGTTGTGAACCACCTTCTTTTTTTAAAATCATTTAATATCTAAAACTTGCATCTGCTAATCCATCATCTGCTAGTTCTTTATATAAATTAGCTACTGTTACAAGATATCGATTCACGTGATATCCATGATCATAATAATATGATTTCCAATATTTTGCTAGATTCGCATGACATTCAAAAATTTCCCAAGCTGTTTTATAATCTTTGGCATTATATGTAAAGAAAAATTTTCTTTAAGGTCTTGAATGTCTAGAATTGGATTTAGAACTATCGTGTTAGGATCAAGTTGATCACAAGTTTAACAAATTTGTAACAATAGTTTACGTGGAATTTCTAGAAATTGGTTCATCGTGCCAGGCTAAATATAGAAAAAAGGTATATATTTAGCATACATTTAACATTATTAAATTAAAAAATTAATAATAAAAGGAAATTTACCATTTTCTATGATCTTTTTTAATTTCTTTTGAAGTTTTTCCAATTCCAAGCTACCTTTTTCAAATCTAAAAGTTTCGCGTTTTCCACTTAACACCGTTTTTTTTACTTCTTCTATGTTAAGATCTTTATAAGGAATTTTTTGGAAGGTCATTTCCCAAAGCAACATTCCAAAACTATTATTTAATAAATAAATAAAATAAATTTTATAATAAATTTTTATAAAGTATTTATTTCATAATCATATTAAAGATAAATATGTTGACCTGAAAATTTCACATTCATAAGTATATTTTACTGGTTTTTCATTTGTACTTTTTATCTTTTCTGGTGCCATCCAATGTAAAACCTTGACTGTTTTTTCATAACCAGTGGTCATTTGATCGTTTTCACGAGAATATTTGAAATTGGCTATTTTTGGTTCAAGTCGTGGAGTCATCTATAAATATTATAATAATAATTAGTACCTTTCTGAATATTTGACACATGAGTGAGTTTAAAGTTTAAATAATATGTACCATGATATTTCTGCATCGGACATCATGGTGAAGAATATTAGCCATATGCAAAAATACTAAATCACGACAAATATCTAATGCAATATGAATTTTATTATTCCAATCGACTTTACTATTTGAATACACTTCTTGAAGATTTCCCCATTCAGTCCATTCAAAAACCATAACTCTATGCCCTTCTAATTTAGAGAGGCCATAGAATCTCAAGATATTTGTACTATCTTTTAATTTTCCCAATATTGCAAGTTCAGCTTGAAACCTTTTCTTCGTATATTCTTTATCTTCTTTTTTAATAATAAATCTTTTGGTAATTCCATTACCACCTCGGCGATCAGTTTTCCTTCCAACATTTGGTTTGATTAATTCTGATGGATTTATTTCAGTTGCCTTGATTCCTTTGAGTTTTATTCGTTTCAATTTTATAACTTATCTTCTCCAAAATTCTTTATAAGCTAAATATATACATATATAATCTATCAATGTCTTTCTATTATAAAATTTAATTAAATTTTTATAAATAAAATAAAATATATCGTGTTATCCAAGTCACCTTACATAGTATTATCGATGATTATTGAAAAAAATAACATATTCATGCTTCTATCAAATTCATCAGTGAGTTCATTAAATTTTTCTTTGATAGAAAATGTATTTGCAATTTTTTGGAATAATGATGTATCTGTTACTTTTTTCACAAAATATAATGTATTATTTAATACGTTATTAAATTTAATAAACGCCTCCTTATATCCGGGATCACAGAAGCGTTTTGCATATAGTTTTTAATGACTTTGTAACTTTTCTACACAAAGTCTAGTAACAATAGTTCGATCTATTATCGATGAACAGATTTTTTTGTTTTGTTTAGTGGTTTCGCAAATATTAATTATATCAGAGATAGTAGAACAAACTAATCCGACTAAAGGTATGGAAACTACTTCAGATATTCTTCCAGCTAAGCTTAGAGAACCTGATAAAGTTGTCGAAAGGGATTCTATTGATTCACCACGATCATTTACGAAATTTACAGATAAAGAATGAAGTTTATCTTTGGCATCTTTGATTTTTGACATTTTTTTTTGAATATTTACCGGACTAGGTATTTGAAGATTAAATAAATAAGGAAATATTCGAATTTAAAAAAAATTTTGTCCAGATTCAAGTAATTTATATCAACAAGGATTAACGCATAATTTAATTTTACAAATCGTTTCCTCGATTTTCATGTGTATTCCAACATTCTACTAATCCAAATTCGTTAAGTAAACATTTATATTAACTGTTAAACAGACCTGTTAAACAACAAAACAATTTTTTTTTTAATATGTACCACAAATTGTGTAAAGAATCAAATAATCTTTTAGGTATATCTTTTGATAAATCATAAGTAAATATAGGGATTGAACAATTTCGAATTATGTAAAAATAACGATGTTAGTTAATTCTGAAATTGAAGAATATTGGTAAACTCGACCAAAATACTGATTATAAATTGTCAGCGAATACAATTAGCTTAACTCATAGTCATTTGCAAAGTTGAAGCCAATGCAGAGACATTCACAGATTTTCTCAAACCATTTTAGTTGCTACTTATTCGTGACTGTAATTTCCAAAAGCTAGTAATAATAAAAGAAAAGTGCTAAAGCTCACCAGTGGTGATTGTCACCACTGGGCAAAATTAAATTTACGTGGTAAAGTTAGGGTTAGGAGTTGATCAGAAAATCATGTAATTTTGCCCGGCGGTGACAATTACCACTGGTGAGCTTTAGCAATACCCATAATAAAATCGCATAAATTTCTTTCATAACAAAAGAATCAATGCATTGCTGGATCAAAAAGCTCCAGCGGTTACAGCCAACAACTTTTGTAAAAACATCATGTTCTTTTTCAAAGTTTATTCGTTTCTTCTGTAGGCAGCAATTCTTCCTTAGTGTAATGTTCGATTCGATATTTTTACATCATTACTGATTATTTCACAAACTTGTTAATTTCTGTCAAATTATCTCCGATCTGTTTTTCAAAATTTTTGATTTGCTTCTCGCTATCCGACAATAATGAAAATAAAAAAAAATTGACAATAGAATCATAAATTGAATGCAAAACTTAAAAGATGAAAGAGATCAATTAGAAAGTGTTATTAAAATTATTGACGAGAAGCTTAAAGATATTACTACGAATATAAATAGCATGGTCATTTACTGGAAGAGCAAGTAAATTCTTTATTCATAAATTAGAAAGAGGACAGCTAAATATAGATAATAAATTCTTTATAAGACCTATTTCTAGAAATGATAATGAAATAAAGGAATCAGCTCAAGAATGTCATCGAGTAATAATGAATTTGATATTAACGCAGTTGGATGAAGAAAATTATTAGCCAGTCATATCTTTATCCCATGAGAAATTAATTATATATAGTCTTTAAAATTTTTTTTTATTATACTTGATCTTAAATAAATTTTAAAAGCACTTAAATGATAAAATCATTGTTTCCATTTTTCATAATTTTATTTGTATAAATTAAATGCGGAATCGTGCATAAAGATAACAGAATAAAAATATAAATGGAAACAATCAAATCTATAATGATATAAATAAAATAATTATGTGAAACTAACGATCCAGTTATTGCTGATATGGTTGAACTTCAATTTCTCAATCAAAATAATAATATTAGATTTTCAGTGGAAGCAATTAGCTTAGTTATTGCTTCTTTCTCATGTATTCGCGAAGTTCAAGTCAACGATCGATTTATTCGTGATCAAATCCAAAAAGTTAACGATCAACGTGATAAATTTATAAACTTTTGTGATGATTCTAAATCATTAAGTAATAAATTGGGAAATTATTCTGAGGAGATTTTATCAATACTTTCAATTATTGAAGAAAATAATTTTACTAGAGAAGATCTCGTAAGTTATCTCACCAATTCATTATTGCCAATTGCAAAAAAAAATAAAGAAGAATCAGAGGAGTACGAAAGACAGATAAAACAAATCAAAGATAATTTGAAAGAAATTAAAAATAATCTCTCTAGATATAGTGAAGAAATCAGTAATGATGAAAAAAATATCGAATCGGACACTAAGGAAGAATTCCTGTCTGCAGAAAAAAAAAAGAAAAACTTAAAATTAATTCGAAATTGTGTTATTATCGCTGGAATTGTTTTTACGGGAGCTGCTGGAGTTGCTGCAGTTACTGGAGTTTCTGCAATTACTGGATATGCTGCTGCAGTTGAATTTGTTGAAGTTACTTTGGGCATGTCTGAATTAGCTGTAGAAATTGGTATCGCAGCGAGTGCCTTTTTAACAGCTGCGGGGGGTTACGGTACGTACGAAACAAATTTAAGTTATAATGAGGATATAAAAAAAAATGACGAGAAAATTATAAGTTTGAATGCAAAACTTAAAGATGAAAGAAAGGAATTTGTAAATGTTATTAAAATGATTGAAAAAAAACTTGAAGATATTAATACAAATATAAGTGATATTGTTATTCATTGGGTGCGTCAAGTAAATTCTTTAGAAGTAAACATTGATAAATTAGAGAAAAGGAAGTTAAACCCAAATTTAAATAAATTTGATACAAGAATTATTTCTAGAAATGCTAATGAAATAAAGGAGAAAGCTCACGAATATCATCGGATAATGAATTTGATAATGAATTTGATTAAATAAATAGCAATTAATATCGAAAAACTATTTATATTACGTATATATTTAAAAATAAATTTTATGAAAAAATATAAATAATAATTCTATTTTCTAATGCATGCTTTTAAAAATTATTTTAATGTATTTTTTGAACGATAACTCTTATTTGATAGTATTAATTAATATTTTTTTTAAGTGGTAGGGAGTTTTAACCTGATTTAATGTATAATATTACTATTGATTCTTTTACTTATCATATGATGAATATTTTGAATATTTTTTACGAAAGTATAAACGTTTAATGCAAAATGAATAAGAATTATGCACAAAGTAAAATCAGCCAACTCTTAACGATTTTCAGATAATGATATAAAAAATAAATTATCGAGTTGTGAAAAAAACCGCTTCAAATTAATGTTGATATGGATGAATTTCAACAATTTCTCAACCTAAACGTAAATATCATATTGTCAGTGGAAGCAATTAGCTCAATTCTTACTTGTTTCTTAAGCATTCGCGAAGTTAAAGTAAACGATCAATTTATTCATGAACAAATCCAAGAAGTTAACGATCAACGCGCTAAATTTATAACATTTTGTTATGATACTAAATCTTTAAGTAACGCATTGGTTAATTATTCTAATGATATTTTATCAACGGTTAAAGTTATTGAAGAAAAAAATTTTAAAAGAGAAGATCTCGTAGGTTTTCTTAATTCATTATTGTCTATTGCAAGAAAAAATAAAATCAAATCAGAGAATTATGAAAATCAGATAAAACAAATCAAAAATAATTTGACGGAAATTCTAAAAAAGCTTGCGGAATATAGTGAAAAAACCATTAAAGGAAATATCAAATCAGATACTAAACAAGAATTGTTGTCTACAGTGGAAATAAAAAATGCCCTTAAAAAGGTCCGAAATTATACTAATGTTATTGGAGTTACTTTTACTGGAGTTTCAGTAGCTGCTGGAGTTGCTGGAGCGACTGGAGCTGCTTTGTGCATTTACAATCCAGCATTAATTCCTTTATTTTCTGAGAAGATTAGACTCATATTAACATTTATTACTTTATCATGTTCGTCCAGCGCAAGTTGTGTCAATACCACGAAGCTTAAAACTCATGTGGAGATGACGAAAATTGACAATAAAATTATAGAATTGAATGCAAAACTTAAAGATGAAAGAGATCAATTAGAACATGTTATTAAAATAGTTGAAATAGAACTTAGAGATATTATTAAGAATATAAATAGTATTGTAACTCACTGGGAAGGGCAAGTAAATTCTTTAGAAGCAAACATCGATAAATTAGAGAGAGGACAACTAAACCAAAATTTAAATATATTTGACATAAGCGCTATTTCTAAAAATGCCAATGAAGTAAAAAAATCGGCTCAAGAATATCACTGGATAATGAATTTGATATTAACACAAGAAAGTCTGATTAGATAACTTGATATTCATTTTTTAATCAAATATTACTTTATTATGTCAAAAAAAAAATGATTCGGGGGAAAGGGAATTTACAAAAATCTCTAAATATCGATGTCTAAACATGATCTATTTATTTACATCAATAAATTTTAATAAATATCACTTTACTTATTTTTACTAATAAATAAAATAATTTTTAAACTAGAATATAAATATAATGAAAAATACTGAACATAAATTCTCTATACTGTAATAAAATAAATAAATAAATATATATATTTGTATACATAAAATTAGAAATACAAAATTTATATTAATTTTAATTCTTTGTTGATGATTATATCATCTTCTAACATGGTGGGATCACTAAAGGTTGAAAATAATCCTTCTGGTAAAGATTGTTGTAGTACTTCCATTCTTTTGTCAAATATATCCAATGATCTTAAAATTCTAGGAGATTTAACAAAATCATCTTCTGTCGTTGAATTCTCTGAATTAATATTAGTATTAATATTATTGAACTCTGCCTCAAATGGGTTACTCGCCACATCACGACACTGTTCACTTCCATTTGGAGATGGAGATGGAGATGATTTAACAGCATCTTTTGCGCTTTTGATAGTTGAACTTATTTGTTTCATAAAGTTTGTGGCGCGAAATTTTTGAAATGCTCTAGAATGAAAATCTTTCTTGGATTCTTCCAATGAATTATTTCTAGAAGTTTCTTTTGATTCAGATAATTCGGATGATGTCTCACATTTTTCTTTCTCGCATTCTTTTTCAAATTCCTTTACAATTACTTGTTCATTTTCTTCTACAAATTCTTTTACACATTCTTTTTCATATTCAAATTCGTATTTTTCAGAACCATTATTTTTGTTATCATTTGGTGATACTTTTTCATATTCAGGTTCGTATTTTTCAGAACCATTATTTTTGTTATCAATTGTTGATACTTTTAATTCACTCGAACTAGAATAAACTTTTCTAAAATAATTCATTGTTGACTTTAAGGTCTTAGAATATGTTGGGCTTCTTTGCTGCTGATTATTTAAATGTGGTGTCGTGACATCTCTAATTAATATTCGAATAATCTGGTTGGGAAATTTTTCAGCAATTTCAGCATATCTAAATCAAAAAAAAAAGATTTATTATATAAAAGATACAATAATTAAGGATCAATATTTCTTATTAACTTACATATCTGGATCATGTTCACCTGAATCGCCAATAAGAATAAATTTTCGTTTAGGAAAATCCTTGAATAATTAAACAAAAAAAAAAGAGTCAATGACAACTTATTCATTATGCAGTGGTCGAATCTTAATAAATTCATTAATCTACCTTCAGTATTTCTCTGATATACTCAAATTTACTTGCTGTGGGATTTCCCCTTTGATCTCGAGCACTTCTAATGAGCCCATCGTAAAATTTGAGATGAGCAGAACCCGGTGGAAAATTATGGGTATTAAAGAAAGATCGTAACATCGGGAGTAATTGCCATGGGGAATTCGACACATAATGAAACTTTACTCCTTTATCATACTAAAGAAATTAAATAAATCCAATATTTCTCATTATTTGTTTCAATTTTTTTTTAAAAAAATGATGATTATTGTTATTATATTCTTACCCAAAATCGATAAAGTTTTGCCATCCCTGGAACCTTTATAAGATTATTTAATGTAAATATACTGTACATATGATATAAATAATTCTTTTTTTTTATATATATCTTAATATGGATTCTATTCAACTAATTCAAACTTACATCCTTAAATGGCTGCAAAAATGTGTTGGCAAGTATGGCTCTGGGACCGGACAAAACTGCGGTTTCTTTAATTGTGTCATCAATATCCTATAAAATCATACGCATTAAATAAAAATAAATAGAAAGTATAATTAACTTTTAACTTTAAGATTATAACTAATTACTAATTTTGATATAGATTATTTATTTACCGAAATTACAGAAATACCTTCAGGTTCCACTAGATTCACGACGCCAAATACTGGAGAAACTATATAATTATGAAAATAGGTAAAAAAAAAAGGCAGGAAAATGAATGATAACATTCATATTATATAACTTACCTTCTTCATTTTGAAAAGCTTCTAATCTAAGTAATTGACTTTCTTGATTATTATCTCCTTCATCCATTAACCATGATTGCACTTTTGATTGTGGAATTATAATTTCTCCTGAAAATTTACCAGAATTTGGTTTAACTTGAATGCTAGATGTTTCGGCATCCAAATGAGAAATTTTATGTTGGTTATGAATATTTTCAATAACTTTTTTAAATTCATCTTTGACTGTATCGGGAGTAAAATTTTCAGCAAGTTGTTCTAAAGAAAGATCATTGGGATCTCCGTCAAGCGCCATTTTTTTTGATTCTGTTAGACCAACAACTTTAACAGTAAATTCTTTATCACTTAAATTGTTAGTCCAAAAAAGCGAAGTACGGGATTCAAGTAATTCATAGCTTGAATCACTTTTTTGAATTCCAGTCATTTTAGTTGTTAATTCTGATAATTGTGAAAATAAATTTATGGATTAAATTCGAGATTAAAAAAAAAAAATCTTATAAAAATTTTTTTTTTTTTTTTTTGCAATTTACATACTTAAAAAGAAAGCTCGAGTTTTGCTTGACTTTGGAGTAGAAAAAGCTCTTCCTCGAACACGGATAAACCAATCATCAGTTAATTCGGATTGTTCTTAAAATTTTTTACAATTATAAAATCCAATAAATAAATATAATATTTGGAAGATTTGTTTATATTATCAATTTAAATAATTACATTGGTTTCATTCCTACCAGTTTCATCGTTGAATTTATGTTTTGTGGCATAAGTAGGAAAAAGCAAACAATTTTGTTCATATTCTTCGGGTGATTCCAATATATTATTATTATTATCATCCGAAGAAGAAGATGAAACTGAACTTTCGGTTCTAAATGAATCAAATTTTAATGATTTTAATGGAGAATTCATTTGAAGAGAATAAAAAAGCTCGTTCCGCAACAATTTTATGTATACAAATAAACATATCTGTATTGCTTTGTGCGTGTGAAACATTTTTTGGACATAAAAGACGAATAAAAGAAGTTAAGACTGTACATGAATCACGTGATTTATTCATTATTTTTTTTCGAAGCTTTAGAGTTAAGAAGTAAAACTAACTCCTTTTGTTTCCTATAATAAATGTAGAATGAACTAAAAGAGAAATTGTCAATATTGAATTAAAGATCTAAATATGTAAATTTTCTCTGTCCATTCATTCTTCATTCAGTAAGGATCTCCGATAGAAAATCAATTATCATATCTTATAAACTTCGACTTTTTTTCTAGTTTTTGTGTCTTTATTTATTGATTGAGTTTATTTTTGATTTCTCACGAAAACTGGTTTTTCGTTGTGGTGTGTCCTTCCTTTAAAAAAAAAATTACACCAAATTTTATTTATCTATCTCCATTGTTTTTATTATTTTTCACATTGTATCCATCTAATCATCTCCCTGTCGTGTTATCTTGTATTTAAAACACAAACTCATTTACAGTAATATATGTATATATATATAAATATATATATATCACTTAAGATAAATACTTTCCTTTTCACACAACAATCAATCATAAATCATAATTAAACCAAAAAAAATCAATCATTTCGCCACCCAAACGCGCGTGAAACATTTACACAAAGGCTTTTTGATTATATCATGTTCCATATATAGTCATCTTTCTTGTTTAAATGATGTAATTAAACTATATATTATAAATATTATATGCACCCTTTTTTTTTAAAAAAAAAATTTCATTTTTTAAAATAAACGAACTCAAATTCTAATCATTCTAAATATTTCAAAAATTCAAAAATTTTATTTATTCATTTATTTGAAACGATCAATGTTTACAACATCACATCTTGCAAACGAAGTTTATCCAGATCTTCAAGGTGGAAAAGTCGAAGAAAGTATTAATCAATCCTCAGCTTTTAACAATAAGGATGATGATTCTCTTTTTTCATCGAAACGCAAAAAAATAAAAGACCAACAACGATTACTCTTGAATCAAACAGGAATTAATCACTCAAATAAAACTTCATTAAGTTATGAAGAAATCAAAGAAAAGGCATCATCACGAACATTTAAATTCTGTCCAATATCACCTTGTAAAACTTCATCAATTGGAAAATTGATAGCTATCAGTTCAATAAAAGATGTATTAAATAGGCCAAAAAATTCACGACATATAAAAATGTTGAATGAATTAAATCTTAGTGCACCTGGAACAAATGAACCAGTTTTATTTGAATCTAAAGTTACAAAATGGAATTCTTCAACAAATAAAAAATTTTCAAATAATTATCTTGTTTTAACAAGAAAATGTTTATTTCATTTCAAGAGTCCTGAAGAATCGGCAAAAATATTTGATGGTATTCCTTTATGTACTCTTCCTCCAAAAAGTAAAGATAATAATAATTTACTGGATTCTTCTGGTGGAGTTCCAATTGAATATATTATATTAACTTTAGCAACAGTATTTTCAATAACTGAATATCTTACACCTGAACCAACTATTCGATTAGATTATGTATCTTCACAAAAGAAACAATCCTTTATTACTATCGTTGCACCAGATTTACAAAAACATCGACAATGGCTTATCTCTTTACGTTCAGCAGTTAGAAATTCTAATTCAATTGGTCCACATTTAACTTCTCAACAACGAACATGGTTAACACAAAAATTAATATCAATGGATGATTTGGATGATTTGACGGAAGAAAATGAAGAAAATTTAAAACTATATCGTGTATTACTTAAATCTTTCACAAATGAAAAAAATTCTGATGGAAATTATGAAAAAGAAAAATGTTTACCAGTTTCACTTGTATTAGGAAAAAATAATATATATTTTATTCCAATTAATTTAATTAACGCTGATGAGAAATATCGAATGAATAAAGAATTATCAATTAATAACTTGGTATTTATCGACGAGATTAAATTAAAACAAGTTGATATCAAAAAATATCAATATCCTTTATTATGTCTTACCAATATTAGATCCGATAGACACGATGATACATTTCAATTAACTTTTATTAATAATAATTCATTAACGAAAAAAATATTAACACTTTCTTCATTATTATTTGAAATCATAATCAACGAAATTAAATCAACTATAGATTCAATAATTTATTGGTATCCAAATCCTTCCTATCAAATGCAAATATTATCATCACCAACTTCTTTTCCGTCTTTATTATCACCTTTATTTTCGCCGATTTTGCAACCTACTAAATCATCATCACCTTTAACATCTTTAAATGATTTTAACGGACGAAATAAAACACAAATGATTGGATTAGAAAGAATGATAGAAGCTCAATGTCATGCTTTTCGAACATCAAAAGCAAGAATATCATTTAATGTTGAATATGTTATTGGAACAAAAAGTGTTATATTAGGATTAGATGTAGAACATTTACCTTTTCGATTTACATTACTTCCACCCAATGATAATTTTAATAAATATAATAATAATAATAATAATAATAATAATAATAATAATTTAAATGAAGATGATGATGATTATACAAATTTTGAATTATTAGCTATAATTAATTCACTTAAATATCATCCATTATTATATGAAGTGATATTTAGAAATATTAATTTATCTAAACTTCAAATTGAATCCACAACGACTGGTAAAAAGATGTTACCTTTAGCAATATATGAATTATTAGTCACAAATCCCAAGTTACGAAAATTAGATTTAACTTTTTGTGGAATTACGGAAGAAACAGTGATTGCAATTGGAGATGCTTTATCCACAGGAAAATCTTCCCTAGAAAGATTAATAATTTCTAATAATTGTATAACTAAAGAAGGAGCTCAAGCATTAGCAAGAGGGATTAGTGCACATGGATTAGGAATTAAGGAACTTGATATTTCATCTTGTGAATTAACTCATGATAGTTTAATGTTTATATTAAATGCACTTGACACTAATAATATTGGAGAACTTGAATCATTAAATCTTTCTAATAATTCATGTGAATTAGATTTAAATATTTTATCAGATATTTTATCGAAAACAGTAAGTTTACGAACGTTAAATTTACGTAATTGTGATAAAATGATTACAGGATTAAAAAAAAGTATTCAATTTGAGGATTTAAATTTAACAACATTAGATATTGGAGGAATTCCATTAAATAGTAAAGAACAATTACGTTCATTATATTCATATATTCAATCAACATCATTTTCCAAAATAAAATATTTTAGTGTAGATCATTGTAATCTTGATGGACATGTATTAGCAATAATTCTTTCATATATATCATCATCACCAAATTATGAAAAAATACGAGTTTGGGCGGGTGGAAATCACATAACACGTACATCGGACGGATGTAAAGAATTTTGTAATGCAGTAAGAAATGATTGGACTCCAGTATGGCTATCTTTAAATAATACAATATTTGGATCTAATATTGAATTGGTAGAAAATATTTTAACATCTTTTTATGAAAATTCAGTATTGGAATTTTTGGATTTATCTCATCCTCAATTTAATGATGTTGATAATAACGATAACATTAATAATATCAATAACATTAATAATATCAATAATATTAATAATATCAATAATATCAATAATATCAATAATATTAATAATATCAATAATATTAATAATATCAATAATAATAATAATATCAATAATATTAATAATATTAATAATATCGATATAAATAATAATAATGAAATTTTTTCAAATCAAATAATAACTTCAAGAAAAGCGTGTGAAATGATTGGAAAGATATTTAGAGGAAATAAAAGTATTAAAGAATTAATTTTATTGGGAGATGCTGAACAAAGATGGGGACAATCATTGGGAATTCAATTATTAGAATTAGAGAATAATAATGTATTGGAAAGGTTAAATGTTAAAGGAAATGGGATAAATAATATTGGTGCGAAATGTTTAAGTGAAGCATTAAAATCAAATACCACATTAAAATTATTGAATATGGATGAAAATGAGGTAAATAAATAAACTTAAATTTTTTTAATATATTATGAATATATTAAGATTAATTATTAAATATATTTTTATTTTATTTTATTTTTTTTTAATAGATCGGAATTGAAGGATATACCTCTATTTATAATGTAATTTCCACACATGAAAACACAACACTTCAAGAATTAGTTTATCCGATACATGATATGCAAATTTATATCGAATCTCTCGAAGAAAAATTTCCTAGTCCTACATCACGAGATAATTTATTTAGTTCTCAATCAATAAAATCTAATCACCGAATTTCTATCGAGAAGAAAAAAATTGAATTTAAAAATGTTGTTGGTAAAATTATGTTGGAAATTGAAGAACATTTAAAAAATAATGAAATTAACACAAATAATATAAAAAATAATGGTGAGGTTAATATAATGGATGAAGAAGATAATGAAGAAATAGAAGTTGGTCATTTAGATTCTGATTAATAATTCTCTACCATATTTGTACAAAATAGTATTTATTATTTAATAATTAATAATTATTTTTAATTATATATATTTCGTTTTCATTAAATACCATCTAAGATATTCCATCTTATATGATTTGTATTAAAGAAATAAAATTTATAAAATTATTCAAAAATTAACAATAACACCTTTTGTCATCAAAGAATCTCAAAGAAATAATGATAAAGTTTCATTGATTAGCGAACATCTACTAGTAAGTGGAGCAATGTAAATCTTTCTTTAAACTTATAATTAATATTTTAAAACTTAGTGAATGAATTTTATTTCTGCAATATTATTTTATATCAAAAAGATGTTGTTGAGATTATAATAATACCAAAATCATTAGTTATTTTTCATAATATTTTATATCATATCACGTTGATATGATAGAAGATAAGATTCTGGTCAAAGCATTGATAGATACAACCTCGAAGTTTAATACCATTAGCAAGAGCTTGTTCAATAAACTTAAATCAGATTATTGAGTCTGATTGTGAAGATGCAGTAGAAGAGATTTGTTGTTTGGATTTACAATACAATGAATTACATAGTTATTGTTCAGTTATTTTTGATCGCGTATATGTAAGGAATCATATAAAATTTATTTATCATTCATTACAACAATGCAAAAATTCCATTAAACTAAAATAAACTGTAAGATACATCTTCTGTTACTTTGTTAATACAAGTTATTTATTATATGTTTATTCAATCACCATTTTCTTACTTACCATCAACTTTATAATACATTCCACACGTACATCATCCACAAATTGGCCCTATCTGTCATCTAAAATCTCCCTGCCTATTTGCGTATTATCCACAACTCTCCCTACCTATTTGTGTTCATTTTTACGAAAAATAAAACGAGCATAGTGTTTATTTCTTTATTTAGTATAAAATTTTTTAAAGACGAATTTATACATATTTATGCAAAGACCTAATCGTCTTGCATTATGACAATTTAATTATTTGGCACAGCAAAATTTATTTAAGTTTATTTAATTATATGTTGGTTACAAGATGTTAACATCATATTCAGATAGGTGAAGACGAGATAGTCATTATTAACTTCAGCATTCTCACGTGGAGAACCTGGATTAAACAAACCAAACGCATCAGCTGTTGTCAAAATTTTTGCCATTATATGTCACAACAAATGTCACATAATAATTTGGACCTGACAAATAACTATTAACATCAAACGCAACAACCTTATTACATGTAAGCAAACGAGAAGCATGTCTAAAATGATCAGTTGACTTCAACCGAAGTGTCATATCCCAAAGCATAAGACAACCTGTCTTTAAACGAGTTGTCATAGGGTGATCCGGGTCTACAAAAATACTTTCCTTTGCCAACTGATTAACTGGCTCATACGTATATCGCCAGTGCATAATGCGTATGTCTACTTCTCCTGCTTCGCTTTGTAGTCCGAAATTAAACAACAATTGTATCAAAGTAATTAATTTCTTTCTAGAAGTTGTTAAGGGAAGAGCGTCATATAATTGTCAACTAGTGTAAGTGTGAGGGCTAGAGGTGCAGACTTAATGCATTGTTATTGATGTTATATATAATTCAAGAATTTTTCTTGATATTTTTTTTTTCCACTAAAATTTTATCACGTGATTATATTACTCTCAAAATTTGTATATGCTAATAAACGAACTTTTTAAATATATCTATATCTTTATGGTATCGTTTTTATAATGTTTACATCGGATAGGTTATTTTGTAAATCTGAATATCAAATAGATATAGATAAGCCCATAAGCCTTGCTTCGCAGACAATTTTGTTTAATGTATTTTTTATCTTTATTCCGATTTTATCATTAGAGAATACGAATTCACAGGCGCAGTAATTGTGACATATTTCGTCGAAGCTAATATAGCGAATTATCTTAACTATTGCATATTCAATCTCTTCCCAACCTAATTTGAAATATATGATGCTGAAAATGGATTATCATTTCTTTTTCCTTTATTAAAAATACTATTAAAAAGAGCAAATATTTTTCGTGTCAAATTTCTTTATTATTTTATTAGAAGATAAAATGAAAAATAATAGTGCTAATATAATGCACATTTGTCATTTTAATTATATAAATAAAGAACTTTTATGAACCGAATTCATGATCTCATATGAACTGAAAGCAATAAACGTTGGTCTCTAAACCCTCTAAACTTATTCGATTTAATTTATAATAAAGAATTTATTATTCCATCTTGTATACCAATGGTTCCATGCGTTTAATAATCTTAACTTTTTCTGGTTTGTCATCCACTGTGGGATCGACCCAAGCAGTTAACAATTGCTCAAAGCTACTTGTGAGATCTTTAGATGGTGATGAAGTTGCAAAACCTGATTTATGCTGTTTCAAACAACTATATATTTTTGAAGATAATCCAAATAACGCAAATGAAATTTTAAAATGCTTTCGGTATGCTATTATTTCGAAATCTGAGACATTTGCATTGCCGTTAATTCTAATCTTCTTGATGAATCTATCTCTGGTTTCGCCATAATCTACTTTTAATTTGATCTTTGCACTTAGTAAATTGTTGTGTTTCTTTTACAGATGCTGTTAGAATGTCAACAGAATCCTTTGTTGCACCTAATTGCAAATACAACGACAAAAATGGCATATGTGGAAGTTTCTCAATGCCTACATTTGCTGGAGACAGTAAGCCGTTGCAGAGGATGGATAGTTACTGCCTTTATTATCTGTAGACCAATTTTTAACTTGTATTAGTATGATCTTCGCTATACTTTTCAGAAAAAGTGCATATATATATAGGTATTATGATATCTACTCCCCGTTGATTTCGTTTACATAAAATGCAACACCGCAATTAGAGCATCTCCAAGAATTTTCCGATTTGGCGTATATGTAATATTGATAAAGTGTGTGAACTTAATGTAGGCGTCGCTAAAACTTGTTCCCGTAAATTCTACTTGCATGGTGACTTCCAATTTTTTATAAACATTGTCTGTGGATAATGATTTTAAAATTCATTCATAGTCACAAAACGAGAATACATATTGCCAACAACTGTGCTATGTTGTAGATTCTGAATGCAATCATCCCAAGCTTTAAGAAGTAATAATCTGGCGGTAAGTTCTCCACGATAACCGGCCTCTACTATTCCTTTCTTAAGCGCTGAAGAGAGCTAATGAGTTCTGAGAGGTCGACATTCGGATCATTTATTATTCGGGAAGACGCCTCTGCCAACACAGGTTCAGTAGGCATTGATGTGATAATGCATTCACGATCTTCTGAAATATTAAGACAAAGTTGTATATAGCTTGCTATTAATTAAGATGCATATTTATATTGTGGTACATAAGCGGGGTCCAAGAATAGCTAAAGTTTTTATAGTACTGATGTTGCCATGGAATTTTTTCTTCCGAGAAATGAAAGACTCTCCACCAATAAGCTTGTCAATAGTCTATTCAATAATACGTTCTGGTTTGAATCCTTCGGTTTCACTGGAAGGCGGTAATAGTGCACCCCACAAAGGTCTACCATACTGAAAGAAATGTTGTGGATCTTCAGTGTCGATATATGTTTAAAATTAGTGTTCATATCCACAGTGTCTAACAAATATAATAGAACAGGGTTTCCTCCCCAACCCTTTTGCCAATAAGAGTATGAGCTTCAACGAACGCAAACAGACATTTAATCGAGCCTTGTGTTATCTTTTTTATATCCAAATACTTATTGATACTCTTAGCCATCTCCTTAAATGAGGTAATTTTCTTAAGCTAACGCACGATATTTGACATTTTGACTTTAACACTTTCCCAAAAATTCACTTGAGAATTTTCGTTTGTAAGTTTATCAATCCATTTTTTGCAAGTTCCGTTGAATTCTTGTACCTCTTGAAAACACGTGTATATATATGCAAGGTAAGTAATTACAGCATCTCGTTTCATTTGTGAATTTACGTAATAGTGTATTTGCAATATGTGATCTAGATGGATAGCCACTTGATTCGGTATCGCGCAAACAACAATACGCGGTCATTATTTTTTCTGCAAAATTCTTCAATAACTTGGATTTTCCTGTATCATTGACTTGAATTAAGGTTATGTATGGTGTATAATAGTATTTTGTTGTTTCATATTTATATAAACACTCATTAATATGGAGCTTGAACCTTTCTGAAAGATCGCTTGGATCTTGAAAATCTCTATGAAGTTGAATCTATCTCTTTCCGTCATCCATTTGTCTACCCTTGTTTCATCTATCTTTAAAAAACTCTGATTATGTACCTGCGATTTAATGAGTAATTCTTTATTTCTCTTCTTTTTTGACTATTTCTTTTATTATTTGCTGTTCTGTTAATCTTTTTAATATATGTATGTAACCATTACAACTGAACACATGCGTGCTGTTTTCCGTTGATTTTCTGAAAACACACATTGGTTGAGATCTGGTCTTCTCTCTACCAAGTTGGTTGAGTACCGGCAACTCATCTTTAATTACCTTTATATTAAAAGATCTTCTCTGACTATTCTCGTTTAACGTTATCTTGGAACCATGTATAATTTCTTTTGTTACTACCCAATCTGTTTCTATCTGTATTTTTTTTACATCAGTTATGATTTTTGTACAATAATCTCCATTCTAGATTCCTATTAGTGTCTATTTTCACTTTGATTAGTTCTTTTAGCGATATATCAATGATCTTTCCTTTTCATTGATGATTAGTGGGTTAATACTAATTACATCTTGTATATTTGTACCTAGCTTTGCATATTTGTCAGATTCTTTTCCTTATGTGACTTCCGCTGTTGATTATTTTATTTGTTGTTACCTCCGATATAATCACTCTTGTTTTTTTTCCTTCCATCTTTGTTATCACTACTTGAGTGGTGAACTTTGTTGTTAGAAACTTTATTACCATTTCCAGCTCACTTTCTAATACACAATATGATTGTTAAATTATTAAATAATAAAGTTTTATAAGTATAAACAATTGATAATTATTTTCAGATTTTTTTATTTCAATCTTCATGTTTATTAAATTTTGGTCATTTTTTATTCACGTCTAAGTAAAGTTAAATTTTCACTAGATACTGCAAAAATGCTTCTAACTAAAGTTGTAGATATCGTTTCTGGCTACAATTTGATATGAGATATTTGACATCTATCTTTAATATCTATCGAATGCAGTACAGATAATTTTCAAAGACTATATTTATTATTTTTTGTCAATTTCATTTACGAACGTTTTTGCATTGTTTTGTATCATGTGATTAGCTACTTGATAAATTAACAATTTAAAACTGCACATTCAGTATCATTGTGTACAATTATATTAATTCAATTTGATAAAGAAGTTTGCAAAGAGATGAACAATTGGAACAATTGAATGTAAAAATATATGGCATTGATTGTATTTGTCCATTATGAAGATTTGATCTTTAATATTATTAAGAGAAATTTATGTCAAAGACAATCATTATTACTATTATTATTATATTAATTTATTTATTTAAAATATTTATTAAAAATAAAAAATGTGAAAATGTCAAGAGAATTATGTAAATTTTTATTTTTTCTTCTTTGTTCCTACTGTAGCACGTTTTCCTTGACCTGAAATTTTAAATAATAATATTTTTAATATATCGAATATACATCAAATATATATATATATATATATATATATCAAATATCTCAAATATATCAAATAGGTTTACCTTTCTTTGGAGAACCTTTTCCTCGTTTCCTTAATCTAGCAATATCATCTAATCGCTGTTTTTCTTCCAAATCAATTAATTGAAATTCAGGAAACAGATCAGTTATTTCACGTTTCTTTATTAATGGTTTAGGATACCAATTAGTAACTGTGGGTCCTATTAATCTTTGTCGAAGAATTTTATTGCCAGTTCTTATCCCAGTTGGATTATAATAATTATCAAATAATTTGGCTGTTAATTGGGCTAATACGGCTAACCTTTCCTTGGTTGGTGGTGAAAAATTAATAAATGCCATATCTCTAAATATTCAGCAATTTGAAAATAAATTATGTTAGATCATCGTACCATTGGCATCATCACGTTGAAGACAAAGTCAGATCTCAACAGTATATATTAATTTTTTTTTTTTTTTTTAAAAAAAAAGTAACATTTCAAATATCTATTGGTGTAATCCAGCACATTACAACCCAACAAGACAAAAGAATGTTTTGGTCAGTCTATGATTGTCGCAACAATCATAGAAATGATACAGGTCTACATTAATAATGGACGAAATCCACATTACCAACTAGAGTTGACAGCTTCTCATCATAAACAAGACAGTCAGTCGCAGAACAACCTCCCAGTGGGTGTAGAGATGTCGAGGATTTAGTAGAAGATATATGTAGTCATTTTTTACCTTGAACGACGACGACTTTTTATCAGTAATTATAACAAGGTATTAATATTTTGTGTCTGTCCAATTTTTGGTCATATGTGTCGATTTTTGATCATCGCGATGATCCGATGATCTGATGATCCGATGTGACTACACTTTTTTATATATGTATTTAGGATCTTGACAGCCGACCAATTATATTTAAAAATAGATTAGATCTTAGGTATTCAATGCAATTGAATATTATACAAATTGAGCAAACAAAGCACATGATCCACGAACATTAAGCTTAAACTCTTATACTAAACATTTATCGCTATGGATATTGAGGTTTTTATATAAATTTTAGTTTATCAATTATTGACGGTTTTATTTCCCTAAAACAATTGATATTTTAAATAATTTTATATATTCACTTATTTGTACTTATTATATATTTCATTTATTATTGGACAGCCGAATGAATTTCCCGAAGAGTCAGACATCGAAAGGTCAAATGTCGAAGAGTCAAACATTGAAGAATCGGAAGAAATCCCAAAGAAACCTTTTGGTACAAAATTAAATGTTGAATTTCAATATACTTGAAACATAAAAAATAATTTATTATTTGCGCATATCCAATATTTTTAGTACCTTGTTTAGCAAGAGTAGAGTATGATTATGAAGCCCGAGAAACTGGAGAATTGTCTCTTGATAAAGGTGATATGTTAACAGTACTTGAGCAAGATCAAGGATGGTGGAAAGGGGATTTAAATGGAAAGATTGGCGTATTTCCCGCAAATGTGAGATTTTTTTTTATTTGTAATTTTCTTGACTTTTCCTAATTGTTAAAATTTATCTAATTTATATTTAACATTAAATAACAGCATGTTAAATTAATTGAGACTCAAAATAAATCTGTTGATGAAGATGATGAAAATGAAGGAAAAGGTTAGATAGGAATAGATAGATAGAAATAGATAGAAATATTTGGATGATATCAATTATCTTGGTTTATTTACCATGTAGTTGCTTTAATTTTAATTTCTTAGGAAAAATAACCAAGAAACTTATGAATTATGGTGTTAAACCAGGAGGACTTGGCAGTTTATTTTCTGGTGGATTCCCTTTAAAAAATACTAGACGCAGTCAAAATACATCAGAATCCAGCGGGTATGATGAAAAAACCGAAGAAAAGCATGTCTCAAGAAAGACAAATCGCAGCTCTTCAGAAGATCATTCTGAACCATCAAAAGATAATAAATTAGCTACACCACCTTCGGTATGTTCTAAATTCTTACTTCATAGAATTTTTCACCTATAAAAGTAAGGAGGAGACTTATATTCTTTCTTTGATTTTCCTTTATTTTCTTTTCTTTTCATTGCCAGCATTTTTGATTTTGATTTGATTTTTTTTTTTTTTTTTAGTATTTAGTCTTCAGAATAATTGAAATAGTTAAAGATACCAGTAGCTTATTTACTTGAATTTTTATAATTATATAGCCCGAAATTTCGCGAGAGCATCAAGATTCTATAGCTAAACCTGTTTCTGTAATTCCTCCGTTGCCACCAAAAAAAAAACCTCCAAAACCAAAACGTGGTAAATGCTTATCTTGATAGGAATTTGCATTTATCATAAAGAATTTTAAATAATTTTTCAACTTTTCTTTTTATAAAGCGGAACTAAAAGCTAAAGTCATTTATGAATATGATGCAGACGGAGATGGTATGAAATTTTCATTACAGTCACAAATTATCTTTATTATGAGGTCTAACTACATCAAAACTCTTTTATTAGATGAAATTAATCTTAAAGAAGAAGAAGTTGTTGTAATTTTGGACAAATCTGATGATGATTGGTGGAAAGGTAGAAATGAAAATGGAGAAGTTGGATTGTTCCCCTCTAATTATGTAGAATTAATTACAGAAAAAGAACAGGTGGTAGGAGAAGAAGTCAATCTTAGATCTGTTATCTCGGAAGTTAAAATCAATGAACAAGAACCCAAATCTGTACCTCATGAGGTTGAACCTGAATCTGAATCTGAACCTGAGCCTGAGCCTGAGTCCAAACTTGAACCTGAATTTAAGTCTGAACCTGAATCTGATCCTGAACCAGATCCTGTGTACGATGAGCCTGAACTTAGACCTGAGCCCGAATCTATTATTGGACCGGTATTAACGCCTGAACCCGAACTTGAGTTTGAACCCAAGTCTGAGTTTGAACCCAGTCCCCAAGAAATTCGTACTCGCAAATATCGGGATGAAGAAGATTCTCCCACGTTACCCAAATCACCATCTCCTTCACTTTCAAGACGTCCGACTTACGGCGTTAATATTCTTTCACCACCTATTAAACGTTCGTCTACATCCAGTCGACGTTCATTACATGAATCATCATTAGATTCTTCTGAACTTCAATCTGATCATGAAGATAATTTGCCTACTCCTAGACGAACTTCAAGCGAAGGGGGAGAAGCATACGCTAGCCACGGACCTTCTTCTCTAGTGTCTCCTACATCTCCTACTCCCCCTACCCAGCCTCCTATTCCTTTTAGTTCTAAGCCTCCATCATCAGGAACTCGACCATCAAAGAATGTTTTGCCCGATATTCCAGTTGATTCTGAAGATCCTCCAGTACCTCCACCTAGAATTAGACCTACATCACAATATGAAATTAAAACTGAAGCGCCTAAATCACCACCGGTTCCTTTAGCGAGACCACCTTCAGTTCCAAAACCTGGATTTACTCCAGCCAAACCTCCCTCAGTACCAAGAAGATCTTCGACATCTAATAAAAACATTTCAATTGTGTCTAGTGAAAAAATTAATGAAAAATCAGAACCAATAAAAGTCAAGTCTCCTAAGTTATACTCAGAAGAGCCGGAAGATGCAGATTATAATACTTATGAATCTACCAAAGAACCGGAGGAAGAAGTTACAGAAATTGAAAAAGAAGTACCTGTAAAGAAAGATGAAATGGATATTGAAGTTGAAAAAAATATTGAAAAAAAAGAGGAAATGGAAGTTATTGCTAAAGAACAAGAAGAAATAGAAGTTATTGCTAAAGAACCAGTTGAAAAAGAGATCAAAGAAAAAGAGACAGAACTTCCACCTATTCCAGTTGGGCCTAAATTGACTAGTTTGAATGTTTCAAGGCCAGCAATCAAAGGTCGAAGACCTCCGGGAAAAAATACAGTAACTCAAAGTCAAAATGAATTATTAGAACAAGCAATAGCAAAGGTCAGTAAATTTTTTTTTAAAAAAAATATACTTTCACAATTTATTGAAGATATGAAATTATTAAATTATGCTTGTTTTTAATTAATTATTTAGGACAAAGAAGAAGTAGAGGAACCCAAAGATAAATCTAATCAACCAACGCTACCATCAAAACCAATAAAACCTATGAAACCTAATATGTTTAAATTACCATTTGCAGGAGGGGGAATGCCGACATTACGTTCTGTCCCCAAGAAACCAATTGAATTATCATCACAAGGTTCCGCTGAATCAAAGAATGTAGTTACTACTGCTACTACTACCACAAACACTGAAACAGGTAGCAAGCCATCCTTTGGAGGGGTCAGATCATACGCCTCAAAGTTTAACGTTCCTAATCAATCAACAGATGTGGAATTCAAATTGAAGAAATGGTTCAATGAAGAGATCAATAAAGTTAAAACCCATTTTGAAACACAATTGGCGGTAGAAAGAAAAAAGCGTGAAGAATTGGAAGATTTAGTTCGGGAAATTGAATCAAGATTTGATGAATAAATTTTTAATAACTGTTTCAAATTTAAATTAATTTTTTTTTACATAAATTTAGATACGTTATGTTTATTTATTATTTTTAGATATTTATTATTTATTTATTTACTTTATTTTATCTATTTAATATTATAATAAAATTGTCAAGGGGGTTTTCTACTTATATTATAATTTATTTTACGAACCTTTCTCATAAATTTACTATTCAAGTTATGATGTTTATATCTATCTATTTATAGTAATGGTTGGTTATTTTCTAAGTGTTCTTGTAGGATGGAATAAAAAATATATTAACTAATAAACATTTTTTCATTTATTAAAAAAATGAAAAAGTGAGTTTGATAAAATTGTTCTATTAATACTTCACAAATAAACCTCTTTTAATTCATTTATTTCTCTTAATTCCATGTTTCTAAGTTCAAGTCACAAAATAATTTTCACACAAAGGTTAAGATTAACTACTGAAAGAATAGAAATGCCATTCAAGAAAATCAAGGAGTTTCAAAAACGAAGCTATCAACAGTCAAGACACTATAAGGTCACCTTATTCATTTAAAAAAAAAAAACTCAAGTGGCAAGCAAATGAGATACCTAAACTAATCACAGAAATTTGTCAGTTTTGAATTCAAAGACAAACCTAATTAATTTTGCAATAGAAGAATTAGAAGATGAATTTGCATTTTAAAAAAGATCCTCACCAGTACATTTGTACATTCTGTACATTTAAAAAACATTAGAAATGGTGAGTACTTGTTCCTTTAACAAGATCTAATATATCCAATAATTATCAAAACATCTATAACATCATAGTCAGCTCGTGATGAACCATCTTATCTGTGCATTTCCAAGCCCGCTTGGGATGGCAAGTTGAGATCTATTAAATCCATCATTATAAAAAAGTTAGGTGGATCAAGGATCTTCCGTTGTCAAAATGCCATTCTGATGAGATTGACAGAGATACCAATAGTATCTATTCACTTTCTCATGCCTCACAAGAGTTCGCACTTGTTGCCCCTTAGAACTCTATAGGTCGTTGAAAATTCTTAAAGACCTGCATAGAAATGTAAGGTTTGATCAGGATTGTATATATATTCAATTTGTATGTTATTTACACACGAATTTATTGTTAAAATTGTTTTAAATGTTTACCGTTAATAAACTTTTTATAATACAATTCTTAGAAATGTATAATTAATAATTCTTTCAATAAATCAAATATGTGATTAAGCCAAAATATAACCACCGTTTAAATAAAACCTTCCAAAAAAAAAATCATCATCCAAATTTAATAATTAACTGGTATCTACGCCGCATTTATTATTTATTATTTATTATTATCTTTTTTAACGAAATACCACTAAAAAAATAAATCTAATTCCTCCTAAACTAATTCCAAACTCGACCTTTTTTTTTTTTGAAAAAAAAATATTAATAATTTAAGGATTGGCTTTTTTTCGATGCTTAGATTCATATTCGTGCCAATCCCCAAATATTTCGGGAAGCCTATCATTTAAAATAATTTGCATTTTAATAAGAAATTAAATAAAATAAAGAAAAACTAAACTCAAAAGAATTGAATAATCATACTTACTCCATAGGCGAACAGGCTTTGGGATCTTCGGTTGTAAAATATGCAAAATTTAAAGCCTCCCTTGCGGTAGGTCTATGTGCAGGGTTTACCGACAAGAGAGACTCAACAAGTTCCATAGCACCTGATGAGAGAACGCTAAATAAAATAAAACGTATATTTATTAGTGATAGTTTCTTTTTAAGAATAATTATTATAATAAACTATAATTGCCACAAAAAATTTAAAATAAAATAATAAAATACTCACTTCCAATATTGTTCCCTGAATTTGTGTTTCCAAACTTCAGGGAAATGGATTACTGAATACCAGGGCAAGTTAATTATTTCCGGCCATTCTTGGGTCGAAGGAACCCCCATTAGTTCAAATATTTTTTCTAATTGGTTTATTTCATCAGAACCTGGAAATATGGGTCTTCTCGTAATAAGCTCCATCATTATACACCTTTTCATGATATGTGATAAAGAAAATCATAAGAAAAAGGAGAATAAGGAAATTTCTTTAAATAAAAAATTAATTATGCATAAATTCATTACCCTGCACTCCATAAATCAACTTCTGGCCCATATTCGGTTGCACCCAAACATAACTCTGGAGGTCTATACCATAATGTAATGACCCTATTTGTATATTCATGCATTCTTCGAGGTTGAAAATGTCTGGCAAGCCCGAAATCAGCTAATTTAAGTTCCCCACGATTATTTAACAAAATATTTGATCCTAGTAATTAAAAAAAAATTAATTTCTTCAAATTAATAAAAATAATAAAAAAAATAATGATAAGATTAATGATAAAATTAGTACTAATTCTACCTTTAATATCACGATGCAAAATTTGATTTTCATGGAGATGAGCCAATCCCTCTAATAGTTGTTTCATTAGACATTTAATGTGATGTGGCTCGTACGTTATTTGTGGGTTTGAAAGAACGCCGGTAAGATCATGGTCCATGTATTCAAATACCATATATACGACTCCTGATTAAATTTATAAATAATTAGTCATTTAGTAAAATTTCCATAAAATCGTAACTATCGATTACAATAATTTAATATCAATATAATAACAATAATATTTTATTCAGGCATCTCTTTAAATACCTTGATAGACCATAATTTCTTTTAGACGAACAATATGATCGTGTTTAAGTTTTTGTAGAAGCTTGATCTCTCTCAGTGCCGTGACAGGAAACTATAAAAAATATTTTATTAATGAAAATAAAAAATAAAATTCACTTAGTAAAAAAAACGATGGATACATACTCCTTCTTTTTCTGCCTCCATGCGTATCCGTTTGAGTGCAACAATCTCACCATTTTCTCTATTTTTTGCTTTATAAACTTTACTGAAAACATAATTTAAAAGATATAAGCATAAAATTATATATAAAATTGTTAATATTATTAATTGATAGAAATCAATCATTGTCTTGTGCTCACGAGAGACGGCCGTAGGAATATTATAAACGATACTAACCCATATGTACCTTCGCCTACTTGCCCTAATTTTTCATATAATTCAGTTGGCTTAACTTGGAGAGGTGTAGCAGAAAGTCCAGGAGGAGCATTACTATTTGCATTATTATTTGCATTATTATTTGATCCTTGTACTTGTGAAGTTTGTTGCATTGATAATTGGTTAGGATTAGAAAGTTGTGTGGGTAACGTAGTGGGAGGTTGTTGAGGTGGTTGACAAATTTGATTCGGGGAATTTAATTTTGGAGCTTGTGTTGGTTGCGTTGTGGAGTTATCTTGTGAATGATGCGAATTAATTGGACCAAAATGTGGAGGATTTGGAGGCTGGGGAGGTTGTGGAGGTTGTGGTGGCATTGTATGCTTATTATCTAATGGTTGATTGTAATCGTACGAATATTGAGCTGGATAATGTTCGTATGCATGTTGATGATAATAATTATCAGTTTGATAATGGTGGCCTTGATAACCAGCCACATTTTGATCCCAAGGCTGCATTTGGGGTGGTAATTGCCCTTGGAAAGGTGCAGGTTCCTGACCGTAAGCCGGGTCGACATATGTTGGAATTACTGAATGTGTTCCAGGTGCACCGGGCTGACTTAAATGTGATGATTGATGTCTATCATGTTCATGTTGATTCAAATGACCAATATGAACAGGTTGATTAATTGGTGTTTGAGGTCCTGGTGGACCTTGTAATATACTGTGAGCACCTTGAAGACCATGTTGGTTAGAAATACCTGGAGGTCCAAGTTGACCTGCTAATGGTTGCGAAATATTTTGAGTAACATGTCCTTGTACATGAGTTCCTGGCGGTATCAATGTGTGTGGATTATGAGTACCATCACCGACATGACTATTAGCGGGCCAATTAGTTTGTTGAGAAACACCATTTTGTGGAGGATATTGATAATATCTGTCTTGATGCCATGGAGGTTGTCGATCACCTTGATTCTGTCGAGTTTGTCTTGACGGACCATTATCACGATATGAACGTGATGAACGGTCATTGTATTGTCTTTGCCAACTATCCCTGCTACGATCACGATGCATACTTCCATCTCTATAAGAAGAACCATCACGATATGATGGTCCATCTCTATAAGATCTTGGCTGACGACTGTTATATTGTCTTTGACCCCACCCCTCTCTGCTTTTATCACGGGTACGTCTATAATAATCTCTCCTTCCTCTTCCACCATTATTAATATTATTATTACCCATATTATTAACATTACTAGCTCCATTTTGTTGACCACCTCCATTTCCATTCCTCCAATGACGTTGTTGACGAGCACGATTCCCCCTATAACCTCTTTGTGATTGAGCCTCTACTCGTTGAGGTGGTACAACAGGTGGTCCATATGGATTTTCTGGTCTAAAATCATCAATATTCGGTTGCATTTGATAAATTTAATAACTATAATATCGATAAAAGAAAGTCTTAGGAGTTTTGAAATATTCTTAATGTTCTTGAATTAAGTCGAATTTCAGTAACTGGTAATCTTTGCTGAATTTTTGATAGTTCGTTGTAAAAGTTCACCTTGGAAATTAAAAAAATATAATTTAAGCCATTTTTGCTTAACGTTACACGCGGACATGATTATCGATGACATTATAATTAGGTATATATTAGACATATGGCAAATCATGTGAAAAATTTCATCCAGTTTGTGTGAACGCTTTATTACTGCTTTAAAATAAAAAAATAAACGTATTAAGATATGTATATTACAAGAGTTTTAAGAGGAATACTTCGAGATGCATTTATTTGATGGACTAAAAGTGTAACTATGCTAATATGTGAAGATTAATCTCATCCAAATATTTATATTACGAAAAATATTTAGAAATTCAAAAAAAAATTAATAAATTTAATCTATTGACTTTGATAATATTACTTAAATTTAAACTTGAATTTAATACATACAATTTCAAATCTTCATTTGTGAAAATGTGAATGTTACGTGTTTATTTATTCAGAAAAAAAAAAAAAGAAATTGACAAATTAATTAAAGATTGTCAATCAACCATTACTTCATTATTGAATGGATTAATTATTACGGTGAAATATAAAATAGGTGGTTCTACAATTCATACTGCAAAATGGAAAGATGCAATGATGCACAATAATTGCAATAATTGGAAAGTTATATTAAAATTTCTTTGAGGTTTGAAAATTATATCCTGATCAAATGTTATATTTGATATTGAAACATGTAATGTATATTAACTATCCAGGTCTTATCCTAATTCACAATAGATAAACACTTTATTTTGAATTATTAAATGGTGATCTAAGGCAGTATTTAAGAGAAAATTATTCATCAATGACTTGGTTTCAGAAGTGTGCTGTTCTTAAATATATATATTGCAAATATTTTAACAGATAAATTCAATACATGGACAGTAATATAGTAATAGTTGGTATATTTGCGAGAAGGAGAAGATTAATGAATATGCAAAATAAAATAAATATTGAATTATTAATATTATTTAATACTGAGTATAGAAATTTTGATTCTAGCTTATATGAATTTACAAATTTTTATTAAAATAAAATAAAATTTGCTAATAATTATTTTTTTAATTAAAAACTTGACTTAAACCCTGATGAATCTCACTATAATTTGAATAATTTCCTCCAAGAGTACAGATTGATTACCTGTTTATTGGAGATGATATAAAGTATTTTCACCTTTACCATTAGCATTATGTAATTAAAATGTTCATTCTTGAAATATTTATTATATTTAATATTCACATTTATCCAAAAAAAATATTAAAATATTAAAATAAATTGTAATATTCACAATCTGCTTTTTCAAAATGTTTCTGTTGGAGTTTTCATATTTTTGAATCACGTAACAAGAATATTCTGTAAGAATAAAAAACGTGACTTTTATACTCAAGCTCAATTTTTTTTTTTTTTGGAGTTCTCACTAGTGAGTACGTTGTACAAATTCTCCAATATTCCATTAAGTTCCGAAAATCAGACTTTGAACTATGTGTATTCAAGTTCATTTTCTTTATGAAATGTGGGATATTCATTAAGAAGTCGAATTACGTGGAGATTTTGAAATCTCATCCATAACCGTATTGATACTTGGGCTAGTTTTTCTAAAAAAAAAGAGCATGAAGTTTCAAATTGATACTATGAAGGTTTCCTCGATATACCAGTATATAAAATTAATAGCGAGATTCCCACCCATAATAAAATCAGATTAGGAAATTATGTAAAATGTAAAGATGTAAAGATATAAAAGCAAATGTAAATGTAGAGAGCGAGTCTGCAAATAAAAAAAGCAGTGAAGCAAAGAATAAGATCAAATTATAAAAGAAGAAAGAAATGTGAAAATGTATCAAGCGAATCCGAAAAAAAAAGCAGAGAATATGACTGAATTATAAAGAATCAATATCTAATCAAAATTCTGGGTTATATTGAGGAATAATAGCGCATTGATACTTCAGGTTTATAGATCTAAAATGAAGTTTAAATGATAAAAGTAAAAACAATTCTCTCATTCCGGCAAGCCAGATTTGAACTAGCGACCTAGAGATATCAGTGCTGAGCTTTGAGGCTCACTACAGTCTCCCGCTCTACCAACTGAGCTATTGCCGGTTTTGATGGAGAATTATAATTCAGTTTGATATAAAATTTTAATAAATACGTGTCATTATTTCAATCGTCAAATTACAAAATTCAAAAAGAAAATAAAAGCAATTGTCTTGTTCCGGCAAGCCAGATTTGAACTAGCGACCTAGAGATATCAGCGCTGAGCCTTGAGGCTCACTACAGTCTCCCGCTCTACCAACTGAGCTATTGCCGGTTTTTTGATGTGTAAGTTTGATATAAATACGTGTCATTGTTTCAATTGCCAAATCAGTCAGGCGACATGTCCATCAGTTAAATTTTTGGTGTAACCCGAAATAACATGAATTTTCCCCTTTATTGATACATAGGTATTACTTCTCGTTTAACCTTTAAGTTCCAGATTTTTTTGCTATTTTGAAAGTTTAACGAAAGCAAGACATCTATGAATAACCAACTCCTTTTTCGATCTTAGTAGTATCGTTAAGTGGGTAGATTATAATTTTTATAAAAAAGCATTTTTTTTTTTTTTATTACAAACATATTATTAACTTTTTATATTTAGATATCCTGTGTTAAAAGGCGAAAGAAAGAAGCTTTTGTTATATTATTTATAATTTAGTTCAAACTTTACAATAGCATATTTAAATAATAAAGCTTTTATCATTAATTTCAAAATATTATACTTTATTAAAATTGTATAGAAGAAACATACTTTGATATTTATTTACTTTTTCGATGACGAGTTATATATTAACCCGTTGCTTGAGCCTAAATCGTCAATAATTTTAATTTAATGGTTGTTAAAATGGTTTTGTGGCTCAGCGTTGTCTTTTGTGTTTTGGTTGTGATTCGTTAGTTTGAATAACAGGTATTTTTTCTAGTTCAAAACTATCTTGTGGGGTTAGAATTATTAATTCTGAATTTTTTATTTTTTTTTATTTTTGCAATTTGAATCACTTCGTACAACACCCAAATTTTTTCTTCCAGTTTTGTCATGTAAAAAGATTTTCTCAATTCGTAAAGTACATCAGAAATAATCGATCGGGAGTAAATTTTTTTTTTGATGTGATATCCCACAATGAGTTTTGATATATAATTATCTGTAAACGCCATTAAAAGTTTATCTATCAAACTCCACATTGCATCTTTTCGTTAACAACTTTGATCCGCAAGGATCATCAATATATTTCGACAATAAAAAGTCTACTGCCTCTTTCACCTTACCTTGTGCCACCGCTTTAAAATTGTAATTTCAAATTATTAATATATATTACTGTTTATATTTTTGCTTAATAACTTTTCTAAAGTTTCATCGTAAGCAAAGTAATGTCCTTTCCGTTTTTCATCATTGTCTATTTTAACTGATGAAATTTTTGAAGTTTTTCTTCTAGTTTTGAAAATTGAGCATGCAATATAAGAAAATGACTTACTGTTTTTTTCGGAAAAATATCTTTGATATATTCGTTTAATAATTGTGCATCACCTTCTATAAGGTCAACGAAGTAATAATTTAATAAAAAGATTCTTCGGTTTTAATTTTTATTTTTTATATAGAATATTTGATCCCAAGATCGTGAAGTTATAGATTTTATACAATTTCGCATGATCTCAATAAAAATTTGAAAAATTCTTGAACTTTCCAATTGAATATATTAAAATTTTAAAAATTAAATCACAATCAAAATGGAAAGAAGCAACCCTCTTATTCCGGCAAGCCAGATTTGAACTAGCGACCTAGAGATATCAGTGTTGAGCTTTACGTCTCACTACAGTCTCCCGCTCTACCAACTGAGCTATTGCCGGTTTTGATGAAGAATTATAATTCAGTTTAATATAAAATTTTAATAAATACGTGTCATTATCTCAATCGTCAAGCCTAGCGACCTAGAGATAATAGTGTTGAGCTTTGATCCCGCTCTACCAACTATTGTAATACATCAATAATAACAATACTAAGTATTGCTAAGTAAAAATTACTATTTCCTGCGTGATGTCTTATGACAATTTTATTTTTATTGTCTAGAGCGTGTACAAAAATATTACGAAAAATCTCGTGATCAACTTTTTAATTCGGTCGCGATTAACATGATAGGGATTGATTTTATATTAAGATATTTTTATAACAGATAGAAAGCCCTTGTTCTTAGCTACCAGATGATATGTGTTTCATTTCTGTAACATCGATATTCGCGGAGATATTCACGAACGCCCGTGAAAAATTTCTGCCGTAAATTTTCCGTAATTCTGGCCAGAATTAAAAAATTACGGAAATAATAAATTAGTATAATTATAAATTATATACAAATCATCGAAATTTTTACATATAATCTTTTATATTATAAGTAATATTAAAATGGTACTAAGTAACCTCAAATATAAAAATTAATTATTATATTAAAAGGACAGACCTATATAATCAAAATTAAGCAAATTATAATCATTTTAAAATTCTTCACCTGTTCAAACTTTAACTGTTAATAGAGTCATTTTTTGTTTATATAAACAAAAAATGACTTAGATTAGACTATAAAAGTCTCAAGTGTGTGTTGCATTTTGCTTTTTAGGTTACTAATTTTAAGTATAGAATACTTTTCAATTTAGATTATGCCAACTATTGGTTGTGTCATAACAACAGAATTTTGACACCATTGTCATTCAAGAAAATTGCTTAGTTAGGTTATGACACCTCCTGTGCACCCTCTTCTATATTAATTTCTAATTCTTTTAAAAACCCAAATTCGATAATGATATTTGTATACTATAACCTGTAGACTTATTGGCCTCATTATGAGTTTGACATTCTGATTGT